TTCTAATTGATTTAAATTAAACTAAAATTAATTAATAAATATTATATATTTAAGGATAAATTTATTCATTTAAAAATTTATAAAGATATTTATGTCAATCATTATTAATATTTTTTAAGTTCACACACATATATATATGATTTTTAGATCAAATAATAATTATATTAAAATTAATAATATATTTACAATTAAAGATATTAATATAAAAGTATCTTATATTAATATATTATTTTTATGTATGTTTTATATATTTTAATTGATACTTCTAATGTATGAAAAACTAATTTATTGAAAACATTAAGACAGTTTTGCATATTTGTAAGATAAGGTTAACAAATCTAAAGATAAAATTGGATTAACAATTAAGATACGAGGATATAATTATTCAATTAATCCCACGATGAGCCACCGTACCTCTTCTCCTCCAATGGACATTTGAGCCCCAGCGAAAAAACTTTGATGCAAACGCACCATGATTGTGTTACCCAAACAAATTATTAGTAAGGTTGCATTAAAAAAAAAAAAGATGTATAATCACACTTAACTGCACCTCCGATTATATCCTGCAGCCTTAGAAAATAAAGATCAATTTATATCACATGAACCTTAGATTGAAGATCAAAACTTGGATTCATAGGTTTCATACCAAAACTCAAACCTAGTTCTCAAGATATTGCTCTAAAATTGTTAGTTGACATTTAAGAGGTCAATGCTTCAAATGAAGTTGCAATATAGTCTTGAGTAACTTTCATTACCATAAAGAAGTCCATTATAATTGTTTAATTTTGGAACATGGCAATCACCTTAGATTAAATGGTTTAGACATAGTTTTAGAAATTATGAGTGTAAGAAGATTTAGACATGCAACATTTTCCTTAGAAAGAAAAAACATGTAATATTTTTTTTCAAATAAGTTAAATAAATAAGAATAAAAAAATAAAAAATAGAGATGTCAACCTTACTTATATTCAATGTAAAATTCGAATGAAAATTATTATTAAATTTTTAAAATGAAGATGAAAATGGTGATGAATATGATTTTATTTTATTTTATTTTTTTGGATACAATGACAGTGACTTTGTACCATATATATTTTTATATATTTAATAAATAAAATTTTTATTAAATAATTCAAAATTTTATTTTAGATTAATCAAAACTAACATATTTCTATTTAAAATATATATTAATATATATATTTAAAAAATTACAAAAAAAGGTTATAAGTACAAAAATTAGTAATACTTATTAATATCTACAAAATGAAGACATAAATAAATTTAAAATATTCATTAAATATAAATATAAAAATAATATAAAATTTTAAAAATAAAAATAAAGAATAATCTATCCATCTTATATTCAATCATTAACATTTTTAATTAAAAAAGATATTATTAAAATAAAAAAAATCAGTGTCACTTAATCTTAATTAAATAACCGTTTTACATTTTTCTCTCAAAACTTTGCTAACACAGAAAGGAACAGCTGTCTCTTTTGGTAGTGCTCCTAAACTGCCTGTCCTAAATGGTGTCAAACTTGAAAGGAAGATGGAAGCTAACATATGTGTATATATATATATATATATATTATTGTTCTCATATCAACTTTTTTTTTTAATTCAAAATAAATAAAATATTTAATTTTTTTATTAAAATAAAATATTTAATATTTAATAATTTAAAATAATTAATTAAAAATTACACATTTAAAATATTCCAATAAATAATCCCGACCTAAACTATAACACAAAATTTTTACGTCAAAAGACGACGGTGTTTTTTTTTTCCATTCTTCTCATGTCACCTTATAAATTACTACAAATGTACAATGTTTTTATATACAAATACAAAAGGGACCCACCAATGGGATTTGATCACATGAAGAAGAACTGTCACTGTCCAATAATAAGTTTCCACGTTAGCTAGGCGTACTACTACTAGTCCCAGATGAACTGTTTGTTTTCATTGAGGTCCCATTTGGATTTAACTTTGCCTTGGGTGAGATGTGGATTAGCACTTTTTCCGTACGATTGTACCATTAATTTTTTATTGGAGAAAAAGATCCGGTGGCTGGAGCGGACCTTTCGTACAAAATACATTATACATTTTTTATTTTTTATTTATTTTTAATTTTGCATTTATGTTTAAATTAATTTATTTTTATATTTTATATTCCATATATTTAATATTATTTTGTTAAATAACATTTATAATTTATAAGCATTATTTTATTTTTATTTTTTATTTATATTTAAATAATTTTTAATTATTTATTAATTTCATAAATATAATTAATTTAAAATTTTCATTATATATAAAATTTAATCTAATATTTTTAATAATTATTTTTTATTATAATTCATATCACCATCACTATTATATTTTCATTTAAATATATATCTTACCATAATTTTAATCTCATAATCTATTCAAATGAAGTTTTAACCATTTGATGTAATTATTGTTCAATTCACGCATGAGATATACATGTTCCTTGAAAAAGTTATGGCGGAGTGTTACCAATTTCATAACTAAGGTTATAAATGAACCAAGCCAAACCGAATTCTCCCTTGTTCAAGCTCTGTTCAGTTAATAATAAACAAAGTGATAAATGAATGAGCTCTTAATGAATTTGACAACATGTGTTCGAACTTGGTTGGACTATTTTTATCGAATTTTAGCCAAATACAAACGAACTATTATTTTAAATCCCAATAAATGGAGTTAATGTTTCTTGTAGCCAACGAGCACAACCCAAAACCAATTGGTGGTAGAGATGCACAAATTTATAGCAAAGGATGGAAATTTATAGACTTTACCAATCATTTGTTTTGGTTCTTATGCCGATATGAGATTCATTTGTATATGCACAATGTACGGCAAATGATGAAAATTTATAAACGTTACTCATCCTTGTTTTGTTTCTTATACTAATGTGAGATTGCTAAAAATAGGTTTCCATTATTTCAAATTTCATTCAAAGTTACTATTCAATTTTTAAACATATGTAATAATATTTTAAAAAAGTTAAAAGTTAATTTTGATTTATGTCATTTGTAATTTTTAATGATATAAATTTTATATGATAATTTATAAATTGATAAAAGATATTAAATTTTAAAATGATTAATTTTTAATATTTTAAATAAATTATAATCAAATTTGAAATTAAACAAATTTATTTGTGAATATAAATGAATCAAGTAAACTTTTATTTGTATTCGATTCGTTTAATAAATAAATATAAAAATATTATTTAAAATTATTTGTTAAATTAAATAAATAAATATAAATAAATAAAAAACCGCACATATTCACAAAAGGTTAATAAAAAAATCTAGTTATTTACTCCCCTATTCAGAATTAAATTTCTCTCTCACACGTTCAAAAATTACTACATCTAATTTAGAATCCTATATCACTCGTCAGTTGTTTTTATTTTATCATCCTTTCATTAAATCACCAATAATTTGCCAAAAAAATTAAATCGCTAATAAGAAAAAAAAGATGAACTTTAAGCATGAATTAGTAAATAGTAAACCATCCATGAAAAGTATATATTTTTTGAAAGATTGAAAATTAGAACAACTTATTTATCTTACAAAAATTTTCAAGATTTATGGATATTTAGTTTTGCAAATAATAAAGTTGACTTGATATCTGATTTGGTTTATTTGAAATTCTTGTAACGAAAAAAAATTCTATAGTGCGACAATTATGTTAAATACATTATGCAAATTTCAGATTTAAATCTAAATGATTTTCATCTATTATATTGTGGTATAAATATAAAAATTTACTTAAACAATTGATTGTCTTAATTAACGATGTAATCAATCGAATTCAAGTCGATATAGTATTAAATTTGAGCTCGAGTTCGATTTAAAATTCAAAGCTCGAAACTCAATTCAAACTTGATTGAGTTTTATTTTTTTAATTCGAACTCGACTCAATATAAAATTTGAACTATTTGAGCTTATTCAATTAGATTCGATTAACATGTAAAAATAAATTTGATTCTTATATTTGATAAAAATTTGATTGTTTGTGCTCAAGTTCGAGATAATTTATTAATTAAAATAATAAAAATAAATTAAAATATAAAAGTTCGATTAAATTTATGAGCTATTCGAATCGAGTGTAAAAATACTCAAATTCGATTCGATCGATAAATCGAATTACTTGAGCTTGATTCGATAATAATCGAATCAAATTCAAGTTATATTCGAATTAAACTCAAGTTACTAATGAGTATTAATATATTATTTATATTTTTAATCTTACTATTAATAAATAAAAGTAATTTTATATTGTGATCATTAAGAATCCAAGCCAGATATTTGATGTAAATTATGATACAAATAGTAGCAAAATTTGGACCAAATCATCAAATTTAAGCTCATGTTTTGTTGGATTTCATCACCAAATTAATCATGTCTCTCATTAAAAATTATTCACTTATATTTTATTTATTATCTTCACATTTTCTTTAGAGAAAGAAATACTATAAATAAGACAGGAACTATAAAAATTCATAAACTAAAATTAAATTATTATTTAAAATTTTATTATTTTATTATAATCAATTAAAATTTTAAGTATTTATTTTCAGTTAATTTAATATTTAACATATATTTTCATCATATTGAACTATAGATTAGACGTAAATAGATATTGATAGTTATACAATTTTTTTATTAATAATAGTTTGATTGAATAAAAATAAATATTTAAAAATTTAATTAATTATATAATAAAAAGAGTTTTAATAATTATCTAATTTTAATTTAAAAGTTTTTTTTATCGTCAGGCCTAATTTTTTCTTACAACGAAGATCAAAGGAAACAAACAATAATGCACACAGTAAATATGTGTATAAGACCCTTACTTTTTTAAGCAGCCAAAGACAGCCTATCACTGATCAGAGAATAAGAAGAAGGAGACACAAGCCCACATCATACTCTAGGCGAGTGAACGGCACTTCCCAATTACAACAACTCGCTGTGGGCTGTCTTGCAGTTTCTTTTTAGAAAATGTGTTAAAAATAACATTTATGACCGGAAAACAACCTCTCCATCACACTTCGAGTGTTTTCACGCGTTCATCATCGAGCGTGAAAGTTGCCCTCAATCCTAAGCTGACAACATTCATTAAGCTTATTTCTTAATAAATAAAAATAAATAAATCCTAACCTCCTCTACTTCCAATCCCACACTGAACCCGCTCCAAACAAGCTTCAAAATACGGCCACACTGAAAACCCCACGTGGATGATTCTGATTGGTTTTGTGAAGGAAAGTACCGTGAGAGTGGGAGTAGAGATGAAGAGGAAGATCAGTAAAAGAGCTCCGTTTTCTCTTGCATCGTCATCTCTTCGTTGGCTGCAGTAAATGAGGAAGTTTTTTTGTTTTTCTTACAAGTCACAGAGAGAGCTTGTAGAAGAGGAAATATATATATATATATATATACACACACACTATATATATATAAAGGAAGAGAGAGCTATACGTTTAGAGAGAGAGAGAGAGAGAGAGAGAGCAAGGGAGGTTTTGGAAAGAGAGGAAATGGAGGGCATAGAGGAAGAAGAGAGTGGAGAAGAGGTGTTAGGGTCAAGCCTGACGATGGAGAAGGTGGCGGCGGCAAAACAGTTTATTGAGAATCATTATAGAGCTCAGATGAAGAATATTCAAGAACGCAAAGAAAGGTATTGTTTTTACTTATTTAAAAAAATTAATCTTTTGCATTGTTTATGATCTTTGTTTGGTTGCTGAGAAATTTAAAAAGAAAAAGATAGAATTTTGAATGTTTGTTTATTGCATTTTTTGGTGGAATCAATGAACTTTGCAGTCAGCTGAATCTAACTTCAATTGCTTTTTTTTTTTTTTTTCTATTTTTCTGGTTTTGAGCTGATGAGTCTGGTGCTTGTTGTGTATGTGGCTTAGTTCCATTTTTTTTTTCTGTTAGTGTTTGGGGAGAATTGGAGCATTTAATAGGAGTAATTGAACTGTTTCCCTAAGTCAGTTGAACTTTTACGAAAATTGAATTTCGAAGTATCAAGAAAATTTTTTTTTTTTTTGTGTATTTTCCTTGCTTTTCTCACCAGTTAAATATGGGCGCTTATTGAATCTATCTAGTGTCTGTGGAAAACCCGGATGGTGGGTTGTCTTTGGATCTCACATAGTCACATTGGCATAGTGTGTTGAGTTTTTTGTAGGTTATATAAGAATTTCACAGTAGTTAAAATCAGCTAGCTTTTAGCTACTGGCCTATTCTTTGGCCAAAAAAATCTGATCTGGTGCATGATTTAATTATCAATGCAAAGTTGCTCCGGTTGGAACTTACTTTAAACTATCTTTTACAGTTTTCTACGAGTTGGCAGTTTTGATGATCCAAACATTTCTTTGTACTATTGATATATTCTAGCTCTAGATCATGGATTTCTTTATTTTTTATTACTTTTTCTCTGGAAGTACGAACCCAGAAAAAAAGACCCACAACATTAACAAAGGAAAGGGGATCCTATCACTTGTGTTATTAGCAAAGAAAAGAAAAAAGAAACTAATAAAGTGAAAAGCAAAGTTTTTATTTTGGAAAATGATGGGAAATTTTGGGACTAATATAAATATCTGTGTATTTCATGTTTTCTGATTGGTCTTGCTGTTGTTGTTAATGATATTTGTCATGAGGTACATATGCATTCCAATATATATTCAATTAAGACAATGAAGGAAAGCAGGTTATGCTTCGGTGATGTCTAGGATTTGCACATTTTATTTGTTGAAAATTGGTGGATTTTAATACCTAGATTGGTTTATGCAGATTCATCACAACTATGATATTGTTTTTTGTGCTGCATGCAAATTTTGATAGGATCTGATTTTCTATTCAAATTATTACCTTTAGCATTCATCCACAATAAACCTACTAATTACATCTTGTACATGATATTTTCAACTTTTGATAAAGGATTCTTGAATTAATGCTAGAATATGACTTTTGGGTTATTTGGGAATTGAGATTTATTGCAATGAAGTTTCTTATTCCTTGTAACATTGTTTTCTTCAACCTGATGTATCGTTCTTTAAAATGTTGTCAGCATTTGTATGCTTGGAATTTGCAATGCATATTTCAAGTTAATAATGTGATTTAGTTTCATTGCAGACGATGGATCCTGGAGAGAAAGTTAGCTGCTTCAGATGTGCCCAAGGAGGAACAACTCAATCTGATAAAAGATCTGGAGAGGAAAGAGACAGAGTTTATGAGACTTAAAAGGCACAAGATTTGTGTCAATGATTTTGATCTTTTGACCATTATTGGAAGGGGAGCCTTTGGTGAGGTTAGAATGCTAACGTTTGTTATAGGTCAAACTCTTTGTTGTTTCTAATATAAGCTGCTTGGTAGTCCATTTTATTTGGAACTATGTGTTGCTTTTTCCTTCTTATTTATATCACAATTCATGCATTGGCTGACTGGAGTATTTTATTGCTCATACTTTTTCTGCAGGTTCGACTGTGCCGGGAGAGGAAATCTGGAAATATTTATGCGATGAAGAAGTTAAAGAAATCTGAAATGCTTATGAGAGGACAGGTAACATGCAAATTACCATTAATTTAATTGATACCTCTACAGTTGGAGATGAGGAGAGTGGAACTTTTGTCAACCATCTACCTCTATGTTACCTCTTGGTTTTAAAGCTTACGTAGACATTCTACATTTTAACTCCCCTTGAGTTTAGAACTAACTCCAAATTTGTTGCATACTACATCAGATTAAGCATGATTGTGTATCCCTTTTCTATTCTCCCCAGATTTTCTTCTGGTGTCTGCTCCTTGATTGCTACCTAACCTTCTTGTAAATATTACATGCTTTAAATTAGCTATTTTTTCATTTTCCATTAGTCCTTTCTCCACTGCTAATCTAATGAAATATATCTGACTCTTTAGGTGGAACATGTTAGAGCAGAGAGGAACTTGCTGGCAGAAGTTGCAAGCCACTGCATAGTAAAACTTTATTATTCATTTCAGGATGCTGAATTTTTATATTTGATCATGGAATATCTTCCTGGGGGTGATATGATGACTCTGCTGATGAGGGAGGATACCTTAACTGAAAATGTGGCTAAGTTTTACATTGCTCAAAGTGTCTTGGCCATTGAGTCTATTCATAAACATAATTACATTCACAGGTTAATATTTTAGCTTTCCCTACTAAGTTGCCTAATTAGTTCATTTTGAAGTAGGGTTATGTGGTAATTCTGTTTATAATTGTTACAAGTTATGTTTACCCATCTTATTTCTTCACGTTCACTTTCTTTCCAGGGACATTAAACCTGACAACCTTCTTCTGGACAAAAATGGTCACATGAAGTTATCGGATTTTGGCCTTTGTAAGCCTCTTGATTGTACAACTTTACCAGCAATCCATGAGAATAGGCCCATGGATGATGAAAATATGACAGAAACTATGGATATTGATGGATTTATTCCTGATGCGGACAATAAGAGCAGATGGAGAAGCCCTCGGGAGCAGCTTCAGCATTGGCAGATGAACAGAAGAAAGTTGGTATGTATGCAATTTACTGCACAGTTGTATTGTTTTAATGCATATATTCTCAAAGTACATTCGAAATGAAGCTTTAAACATCAATATGGCAGTGGTTCAATTTTTTTTCCAGCATATTAATTAATTAATTAAAACACATAATTGCTTAGAGATGGTGCTTCAAGAAATAATATTAACCTTTCTCAAGTTTCAGTTTTGACTCTCGATTGATGCCCCTTCTATCTCTGACTAATGCCTCTGTTTTCTTACTTTATCAGACCTCTTCTTGCCAAACTTAAATTGAAAGATCTAGAAGTTTGTTTATACACATGTTTGTTTTCTGCCTTTGAACTATGCCTAAGTTCACTTGTTGCTACATGTTAACAGTTTCTATCACATACTGGACTTTGTGAATGGCAGCTAACGGCACGCATCATTCCTATAAGCGGTTTCTAAGTTCTTTCCCTTCCAAGGGAATTTGCAAATAGTAGCACTGTTGACTAGAATTAATGAATCTTAAAAAGAGTGACAAGTTTTTGGTAAATTTCTCACTGAATAGCTGCATTAATAGTAATGCAATCGGATTATGGTTTGAAAGACATGGTTCAGTTTGCAAAGCAGTTTTTCCAGCAATTTTGGCTATCAGTTTTTTGTTTGACTTTGAAGGCATTTTCAACTGTTGGAACACCTGATTACATATCTCCTGAAGTGTTACTGAAGAAAGGATATGGCATGGAATGTGACTGGTTAGTTCTAATTTTTTTTCAGTTCTCTTTCACTCTCTTAGTTGCAACTGGTATCTATTACTTGTTCTCCATTTTGTTACTTTATGTTCATTTACGAGGCATATCTGTTCTACTTTTCTAACTGTCCGCTGTCTATCATCTTTTCCAGTTACAACTTTGAATTTGGGAGCTAATCAATTGCTGAAAGTTTTGTTTACTTTGTATTGCATAGACACACTTTTCTCTGTGAAGTTCTCTTACCGTAACTTAAATAGCCACCTTTTCTATTGGACTTCTTTTAGGTGGTCACTAGGAGCAATAATGTATGAAATGCTAATTGGATATCCACCATTTTATTCAGATGATCCAATTACCACATGCAGGAAGGTAACACGTTTCCGTCTGGCTTTACTTTCTTTGCTCCATTTGATCTTTGCTGCATTATAAATATTATCCTTATTCTTAGGCGCTCTCTCCAAATTCAGGATAATCCACTGAGCAACTTCTGCTTTCTAGTTTGGGCTAGTTTATAATATCAATCTTTTCCTTTACAGATGGAGACTGCTATTGTTAAAGAATTCCAATGCAGGATGATGCCTAGATGTTTAATGCATCTTTATATACAATATTACGTTGATAATATTGTACTTAGTCCACAACTAAATATGCATTTACGTCTAGTTATTCCAACTATGCCAAATGCATACTTGTACAGCATAAGTAGGTTGTTGGTGTCTTACCGGCACATGCTTGATTTTGTCTTCTACTAGCATTTTCAGACTAGGCCCTGTTTCTTTTAGGTTGTGTGTGTGTTTTTTTCTTTTCCTGAAAAGTTTACCTATGCACCATGATTGCTTTTGATTTTGTTATGCGTGCTGCATTATGTCTGTTGCTCTCCCCCACCTCCATACAAGTTTAACAGGAACATTTTCTCTATGGTACACTTGATGGAGATATCATTCTTTTTCCTGACATTTTGATCATCAATTATTGTCAGATTGTGCATTGGAGAAATCACCTAAGATTTCCTGAAGATTCAAGGTTAAGTCATGAGGCAAGGGATCTCATATGTAGATTGCTGTGTGATGTTGAGCACAGACTGGGTACTGGAGGGGCACATCAAATTAAAGTAAGATTATTGAAATGTTATTTCTTTTCTACCAACTATCTCTTCTTCCTTAGGTTGTTGACATTTAATTTTATCAGGCTCATCCTTGGTTCAAGGACGTTGTGTGGGATAAACTCTATGAGATGGAGGCTGCATTTAAACCTGAAGTGAATGGGGAATTAGATACTCAAAATTTTATGAAGTTTGATGAAGTATAACTTGAAATTCCCCTTCTTTATTACTTTTGTTTTGCTTGTTCCAATCACTAATCAGTTTCTTCACTATGCATTTGTCCATCTTGGTGAAATTTTTTCCAATAATTTGATTATTTTTGGAATTGTCACCAGTTGGATTCTCCAGCACCAGCAAGAACTGGCTTGGGACCCTCACGGAAGGTTTGTAACAAATGATGCTGTCTGTAAACTCATCTTAAGAGTACTTTCCAGTTGGTTATTTCATTTTATTTAACCTTTTTTGAGTATATGGCAAGTTTGTGCTTTATTAAATGATCTGATAATGCTATGAATATGCATCATGGGACTTTATTCCTTTTCCTTTTTTGTTCAAATAATGATAATTTACGAAACAATTGATATTTCAATGATGTCTTGTGAAAAATTGTGTGTTAACACCTTGTGACAAAAACAAATTCATTGATGTGGAGAAATATATCATGGTAGAATTTATTTATTTTTCCTACTTTATGCAGATGCTTTTAACACCCAAAGATTTAAGTTTTGTTGGCTATACATACAAGAACTTTGATGCTGTCAAAGGGCTGCACCATTCTTTTGGTATGCAATTCATCACTGAGTTGTCAAGATTTCAACCTTTTTCTCTATTGATGTAGCATTTCTTTTTTGGGGTGCTTATCAGTGATAAATATCTTTGTTTTCTTGTGAACATACTTGCATTTTGTGCAGAAACAAAGTTTGCCTGTGGGTGAGTAAAAGTTCAGCTTTAGGTTGGACAAGTGAAGGGTGTTAGATTCAATTCCCTCTTCCTTGTCAATATTGATTATAAGCTTGAATTTCTTGATCACATACTTCTTATTCATCTCATGAGCAAGTATGTAATGTGAAATTGGAGGTTTAAATGGATGCTATGCTAACACTACAGATGTACGGAATGCCATAATGAACCTTGATTTGCATGCACCTTAACCTTTCTTTGGCAGTATTGGCTTGCTAATAGCTTTAGGTAGTCAAGTTGCTACTCTCATTGTCTGAATCTGTCTAAAGAATGATAGGAAGTCACAGATTTGAGAAATAGATCTTAGTGTCTGATAAAACTACTTGACAGCCTCTAACATCTCAAGCTTAAGAAGAGGTTGTATGGATAAGGAATTAGATTTAGACCCATGGATGACAATGAGAATGGAGCTAGGACTCAGAACCAATCAATAATAGTTGAAGCCAATCATGGGTAACATACTAACATCGAGCTTCCACAAGAGATTATTGGGATATGGTGAATCCACTGCCCATTTTAATTGTTGCTAGTTCATGAACATTGGTAAATTTCACTCCAGAATGTGTTTGATGCAGTGTTTCAGTGAGGCAAATTTAGATTTGGTCTGAACTTTATAGGTGGACTACTGTGAAGTAGAATGGTATAAATATCTGGCAGAGCCCGAGTGAAATAACTGGTTGTGAACTAGGAGCATTTAGGTAAGGCCGCAAGATTGAGTAGTCCAATGAAAGACTTGAAAACCACATTTCTATAGTAATAAAATTACCTTAAAATGCTAGAATTTGTTGATAGCATTTAATATGTGGACTTGAGAAGAAAAAAAAAAATAACTTTGTGATATTTTGTATAATTTCTATGTGAAAAGCATATAAAAAAGAAAATAAAAAATGCACCAAGCTACTTTATTGTGTAGGTTTTTTTTTTTTTTTGGTGCAGTATCCAGATTTCTTTTATTAACCTAGATGTTTTACTTCAGCTGATTATGCTCCTCTTAAATAGGGAAGAGTTTTGTGATATCACCTTCCTAAATTATTTTACTTGTGCAGATTTCAAGAATCCATCAATGGAACAGCTATCTGATGATTCTATATACAGTAAATGATCTTTCTCTTTCTTCTATTCTTATTTTCATTTTCGACTTCCTACCATTGTAGTACTAGATGTAATAACTTTTCTTTCTTCACTATTAAATGGATTAAGTTTCTTAATCTCTGCAGGTGATTCAGGGTTAAGTTATTCCATTAAGCTGTCAGCCGAGGAAACAGAAGTGCAGATGCTTACATCAGCAGGTGATCCCATGTTGCCATAGAGTAACTGATGCAAAACCTCTTACATAGATATATGTATATTTCTGCTTGTTTTAAGGTTACAATTCTCCAAGATCTGCAGTTCTTGCGGCTGCCATCCAACTTGTGGAGCCACTTTGTTAAGTGTACAGAAGTATTTCAGAAAAAATTTAAAATCCAGTTGCGAGTAGACTGGTAGGACAAGCGAGACTCTTTTTCAACCTAAAAGGCTTTGTGTATTAGTAAGTTAGATCAGAGTTCTGAAACTTGATGCACTGGCTGCCCAGGTTGGCTGTGGTAAAATTGCCTTCTCTCGTGGCAGTTTCTGGTCAAATTTTTAATTGATAGCAAACTCCTGAGAAACTCTATAGCCATTTTGGGAACAATATTGATCTCCCTTTTGTTGTGTGTAAACTATTATTAGCAAAAACTAGAAATTATCTGTGACGAAATAACATTTTGCTGATAAATATATTTCTCAGTAAATTGTTCATTGAAGTGCTCCTGCCATTTTTTGTTGTATGATTGCGTTTTTCAAGTTGTCCACTTCTGGAAATGTTGCTATTGAACAGTTTTAAGCAGTTTTACCTCGTTTCTCTCTGGCTACTGATGCAATTCTTAAGTGCTCCCTCCATCAAAGGAAACACCTTACGAAAATTGCTGCGGTGGACCATTTACCACAGTTCTCTGTTCCAATTTGCCTAGCGTTAGTTCTTCTGATTCTGAACAGTGGTGCAGTTGGTGTAGATATGATACGTAAAATGATAAAAAATAAAAAAGATATGGTTTAAAATTTGAGTAAAAATTATATGTAAGGTTAAAAATAAAAAATATTTATGCCTTATATTTGCATGTTAATACAATTAAAATATGAGAATTTTTGTGTTTTAACACATGTTTGACAAGAAATAAATAAACACAAATACTCAAATTATATCTATTCCAACTTAAATTGATTTAGTCATTCCGGGTGAGAAGCTCCCCAGGTGCTACTACAAAATATGCTCAACCAACCTGAAGAATAGTAGCAGTTAGCACTTTACTCCAGTCTGGCATGGATTTTTCTTTTAATCAATCATATAACATGTCTTCATTTGGCAGGATAGCAATTCAATATTCTTATTTTCTGTTAGTTAACATGATTTTCAATTTTTTCAACAAAAACAGGGTTGTCTTTGTCCGAAACTAAGAATTTAGAAAGCTTTGAGTCAGGCCTTGAGGTTTGACTCTTGTGATGTTTATCCAAGGAAATGATAACCCGAAAGAATAACAGTGGATTTTGCTTAAAATCTCAATCTTGAATCGATGGAAGAAAAAGACAGGTTTCGTGCCTTAAAGAAAAAGTCGATTGCTATTGACTTAAAAAAGTAGCAGTACCAACAAGCAAACTAGAAAACGAGCTTTGTAGATTTCTTAGTAATAACTAAGCTGAAAAACAGGAAGGTCAAAGCTGGCCCTTACCTAAAGTGCAACCAAATGATTACTCTTGGGTTATTAAAAGGTCAAGTTTTAGCCTTTCACTTAACTATAATTAACATACAATTGTTTTGGTGAGATTTTGCCACCTGACAGATATGTTGTGATCCTTTGGGAGATTGACAGGTTGGTGGGTGTATACTTTTTCATCTGAGGCAGGTAAAATTGTGTTGATTTTTTCATGGTGGTTTTTTTCCAGAATGAAAGAAGGAAATATTCTTTTTCTAGTTTTCCATTGCTTACGGATGATCAGCTAGTAAAGTCATAAACGGAACTAACTACCAAAAAATCCTTGTGCTTTGAATTAAAAAAACTGTCATAGCAAATAATTGAGATTGATAGAATCAAATAAGTTTTCAAGATACAATCAACACAAAAAAGGAAAATGCCAGATGCTGATCACCAGAAAGCTTCGCAAAATCTACCATGCAATAAAAGCAATTAATTTAGACAAGAAAAAAAAAAGGATAGACAAATCAAAAGAAGAGAGAATGAGATGGGTGGAGATGCTTTAATATGCTCTTCAAGATTTGACATCTGTCATCGCTTTCCTTTTCCTCTTCCTCTTCAACACATCAGACACACGCTCTCTCTTGTCTCTTTCTCTTCGGCTTTTTCCTTTTACAAATGCATTTTCTTTTGCTTAAGTTTTTTCTCTTCTCTTACCTCGCCACGCCCTTTCCTTTTGCTCCTTCAAGTCTCAACGCCCAGATATCATTATTGTATGTATAAACAAAAGAAAAAAGAACGTAAAAAAATCGATATTCATATCTTTGCTTTCTTACTCATTTGATCTTTTTTTTATTCTCTCATGTCTCATCTCCCAGATGTTAAAAGTTCCTTGCTTGAGACAACTATAAAGAGAGAGGGAAAAGGAAGACCACTACAGTTGACAAAAGTAGGTAGTAGTCATTCTCTCTTTTTTTTTTTTTTTATGTTAAAGTTTCTATATTTACTTTCCTTTTCTTGAATATAATTGTTGCCAATTATTTGGCAGAGAGAGAGGGAGCGGGGTGGTGAGCAAAAATTACTTGAGGCAGTGAAGGGTTGCCTCAGATCCAGGGAACTCTTTAAATGATATCTGAAGAAAAGTACTATCCTTTTTAGGGTTTTCCTGTGATTCTTGGGACATCACGCGTCTTGAGTTCTTTCTCATGAGCCTTCTTTTTTTTTCCCCCCTTGAAGTCTTTCTTTTTATGTTCGAGGATAAAGGGTTGGTTTCAAATTTGATCTAATTGTTGTTGTCTGAAAGTTCTATTATTATTATTAGTATTATTATTATTCTTTGGTTTGTGTGGATATTAATTTGTTTCTCTGGTTCTTTCTGTCATAACTGTTGTTGGTGGAGGTAGATAAAGAAGAGTCCAAAGAAGAAAAAGTTGAAAAATGCATAATCAAGGTTTAAAGTAACTAATTTTGGGTAGTAGTTTCCACAAATGGAAGTTTGAATCCACTTGTAGTTGACCAGATCTGAGAACCCATTTCCCTTTCACTACCTTTTCTGGCTCACCCATAAGTTGCAACCCCGAACTTCCATCCTTTTTTTTGGACACCTTTGAGTTAATTAAGGCATGGGAAATGGTTTTGTTAAAACCCACCATTCATATTCTACTGTCATTCTATAAGTCAGAAGAAGGTAGTAGTTTCGTTGAACAATGACAAGTTGTGTGTTTTTTGAGTGGTTGGGGAGTAACTTTTTCCGCTGCCCAGATAGGGATTTTGATGGAGGAGATGCGTCCGACAGTCACGGTGCCTTTTAGATTAGGTAATTCAGTCTGTCAAAACTCTACCTTTGCTACGTGTATGGACATCACAAGACTTAAGCTTATGGCAAATCCTGCTGGTTTTGTAACTGATTCAGTAACCAAGACTACTAACCAGTCAGTTACTGGTGAAGATATGGGTTGTAACTGTGCTGACATGGAGATCAAGGAAAGTACTATAAAGTTGCCACTGACAGAAGAGGTCCAGGAAGAAGGAGCTACCTCCTTAGATATTATATCTGATAGTAAAGTTAGTTGGATTGCTAGTAGTGATGTTATATCCCAAGAAAGTGAAGAAGACGATTCTTACTCTTTGGAAGGTGATCGTGTTCTTGATATTGATAGCTCTTGTTCAATATCATTGGCAAGTGAGACTAGTAGCCTTTATGGAGAAGATTTCCTAGGTGTTGATGCTACTTCTGAGATAGGAACTCCTATTTCAGTGGACAACGAGAAAAACATTTGCTGTGTAGATATTATTGCAAAGGCCACCAAGTTTTTGGAGTCAAACATTGACACAGAGGTCGCAAGCGATCCCCTTGCTGTGGCAATAAGCCTTGGGGAAGAGATTGGAGATGGGTCTGAACAGAAGCCATCTGCAGTGGTTCTTCAATTGGCTTTCGAAAAGGAAACAAGTACAGCAGTTCCGGTTCCACGTAGTGTGTTTGAGGTGGAATATGTGCCTCTTTGGGGATTTACCTCTATATGCGGAAGGAGACCTGAAATGGAAGATGCAGTTGCTGCTGTGCCTTGGTTTTTAAATATTCCAATTCAGATGCTAATTGGTGATCGGATATTTGATGGCCTTAGCAGGGGCTTTGCTCATCAGACTGCTCACTTCTTCGGGGTCTATGATGGTCATGGAGGCTCACAGGTTAGTTTTACAATTTCTTTTGTATCTTTCTTGTTTAGCTTTCTTTCTTTTCCATTAAATCATTCATGAGATGTCCTGGAAGTAAATTTATTTCTTGGTGTTCACCATTTTACAGGTTGCAAACTACTGTCGGGAGCGTATTCACCCTTTGTTAGCTGAGGAAATAGACTTTGTTAAGGAATGCTGGAGTAATGCAAGCATAAAAGGTAGTCGCCATGAGCTGTGGAAAAAGGCATTCACGAATTGTTTTGTTAAAGTTGATGCTGAGGTTGGAGGACAAAGTAGTCAAGAACCTGTTGCCCCAGAAACAGTTGGTTCTACTGCTGTTGTTGCTCTAATTTGTTCTTCTCATATTATTATAGCAAACTGCGGAGATTCAAGAGCTGTTCTATGTCGTGGAAAAGAACCCATGGCTTTGTCCGTGGATCATAAAGTAAGAGACTGTGAATTGCACCTTTATATCTTCTTGTATTTCTTCATCAACATTGGGAACTTATACCTTTTCTTTTATTCTGTTCATATTTCTTAGCCAAATCGAGAAGATGAATATGAAAGGATTGAAGCTGCCGGAGGCAAGGTTATCAGATGGAATGGGCATCGAGTTTTTGGTGTTCTTGCAATGTCAAGGTCCATTGGTATGTGTTCAGTCATAATAAACTTTTTTTTCAAGAATTGAACTCTTATCTTTTAGCATTTCATGTTTGTGATATGCTTTTTTTCAAATCATAAGAGGGTAGGGGGACATCTTTTCTTAAGACAATTTTCCCCAAATGACGTCCTCATCATGGTTTATATCTTGTGACCTTAGTCATTATCATACTGTAAGTTATATAAAGCAGAATACAACATATATCTCTTGTGAGACTGGATTACATGGTGTGCCCTTGTGTCTCACTTGACATTAGCTGTAGGATCTGTGTTTAATGATGTTTCAGAATTGGTTGGATTTGGCACAGTTCTGTAGAACTAACCATTGAAATGTGTTAAGAGGAGTGCCAGTGTAGTAATTCAAAATCTGTTACACTTTTGCTTGAATTTTTTACTCTAGCTTCCATCATGAAGTTCCTCTGGCTGTGCCTTCTGTCAAAGTCTTCACTTGTTTATTGGTGTGGTGTATTCAGTATCTGTTTTAGGCCTTATTGAACTCTGGGGAGAACTTTTTCCCCCTTTTTTTTTTTTCCTGTGCATAAACTGCACAAAAGGTGCTTCTGTTTTATAATAAAAGAAAATTTCTTCAACCAGGCCCAAAAGAATTATAACTCTTGAAAGAAGATCCGTGAATGTTAGAGAGAGCAATAGATTATAAATCTCCATGCATTTGCTTTTCTCTTCATCAAAGTTTGCATGATAAAACAATGTTTCCTGACTGATATAGGAGTCACATTTTGAGTATTAAACCTGTATGGTCATAAGTATTGCAAGCAGTTAACCTATTTGTTGTCATTTTTCTTTTCTACCAAGGATATCTCATGTCCGAAATTCTTAGAAGAATCATGTTGTCTTCTAATAGTTTTTAAAAAATTCCTGCTGTTCTTTCAGTATCCATATCGGTGTTCTGTCCTTGGAGTGATATTTTTAGATTATAAATTGACATCAGTCTGATATGATTTAACGTACTTTAATCAACTTCAAATTATGCTATTAGTGCTTTCATTTTTCTCTAAAAGCATGCACTGGTTAGCTATTTCCTATTGTTAAATCTGTTGTGCTAGCATTTTGAGGATAGTTGCTTAGGTACTTCTTTCATGAAGCCATGCGGGATAATATAATATGAACTCCTTGTCAGGTCACAAACTCATAATGCACCTGATTGCAGGTTTTTCCAATGTTGATATGGGCATTAAGTGTACTGGATTGATGCTTGCCATAACTAATCATAAATAATTTGATTGTACAGAATAATTAAAAACTGTGAATGACCATTCTTGTTGTTTCAGGTGATAGATATTTGAAGCCATGGATCATTCCAGAGCCTGAAGTAATGTTCGTTCCAAGAGTGAAAGAAGATGAATGCCTTATTTTGGCCAGTGATGGTCTATGGGATGTTATGACAAATGAAGAAGCATGTGACCTGGCCCGAAGACGAATACTGCAATGGCACAAAAAGAACGGTGCTACATTGACTTCAGAAAGGGGTGAGACAATTGATCCTGCTGCTCAAGCCGCAGCAGAATACCTTTCACACCGTGCTCTCCAGAAGGGAAGCAAGGACAATATCACTGTACTTGTGGTGGATCTGAAGGCTCAAAGGAAGTTCAAGAGTAAGACATGATGGTCTCTCAACCGTCCTTGGGTCTTCAATCTTGCCATTTGACATAATTTCATATTGTTCAATATAGTTTTTCCAATTTGTTTTTCAGGAAAAGGGGGGGGGGGGGGGGGGGGGTCTGTCTTTATATGACAGTATCAGTCTGTACTATAGAACACGCACCATTCTAATACCTTTCCGTAGTTTCAAGAGTCTTGATGTAAACCAGCCAAGTTCTGGCTATTGTGAATCTCAGCTGTGCCTTAAGAAATAGGAGATTATGTCAGTTCCACGCGTTTGACATTGTGGGAAAATTGTATTCATTGTGCCTCCGAGTTAAAAATCACTCTGAGAGGTATCTGTTTTGTACCATTTCAATCGCATGGTGCCTATGAAAGTTGGCAAATTTGGTTGATAACACGACTACCGTTCTTGACTTTTCATTGGCTAGCTATCTATTGATTTCTTCTGATGAGATGTTTCTAGTTTGTAGCACTATAAGCCGGGCAAATGCCTACGGTTTTGCAGGTGATTATTTTTGGCCATGTAAGGTGCTTCCTTTCTCATAGTGCATGATACGTGTGGAAATGTGGGTGTCAAATTTATCACATTGCCCCTTGAATGTTTTTCATCCATTTTCAAGCCTTGAAATGCAACCACCCCACCTGGTCCGTTATTCTCAAATAAGCACTTTGCAAAGAACTTTTTTGAATTCCTTCACTTTCTCAGATGAAACAAACTGTGAAGGGAGAAAAAACAAAGGTAGAAAAAAATGAAAGTAAGGATAAACATTTTAAACAATGAACCTGAGATTAAACAAGAACAGGAAAAAGAGGATTCAAAACAGAAATTGCAATAGAGAGGACAGGGCACAAACCGGCTACACAATTGAACAAACAAAACGAGTTAATAGAAATCCAGAACCATAGGTTGTCCAGTTGTGATCCAGTTATCCTGTATGCCAATTATTAAACAGAGAAGAAGAAAAAATAGAGTTAAACTGAGCTAAAAAAGAAGAAGAGTCTATGGCTGTTAGTATTATTACGTTGAGCCACTTCCAAGCAACTTGACGTCCTTCCCTACTAACTGCAAGTCCGACTACAGCATCTTGGCTGCGAACCTAATTGCATCCATTGGAGGTATTGTTTACTTTGATATTTTACAATTTTGTTTCACATCTCACAAATATAGTATACATATATATATATATATATATATTTATCAGAATATCCCGATGTCATTTTGGGTGTTAGCTAACTTTTAAACTAGAAGTTAGAATAGCTCAAGACAAATTTTAGAGGTTCAAGAATGATACCCTGATCAGGACAAGATGCCAATGAAGAAGATACAGAAAAACAAGTACAAGTCTAAAACCCGAGTTCTCTCCTGGCATAGATCAGTCTCTCTATAAACACTGAAAAGAGATTCAAAACCCGCATTGTCGAAGGAGCTGACTTTCTGCATTACAGCTACATCTGCAACCTGCAAGCAAGCATGGTCAATTAAAAGCTTAGTTGGTTAAAATTCTTTGGTTTGTATTAAGAACCTGAGATAAACAACCTTTCTTATGTCAGGATGGACTGGTGTGTTTCCATTATCCAAGAAGGCGTGAAATCCAAAGTTGCTTGAGTGACACAATCTTTGGAGTAATAAATAAATTATTTTTTAATATATTTAAAATTATCAAAATAAAAATTAAGAGTTCAAATGTTTTATTATTAAAAAATTTCAACACTTTACTGTTGTTAATAACAATTAATACTAGTGTAAAAACTTAGTTTCGCACGAGATCAATCATATATATGTATATATATATATATATATACATATATTATATTATAATATACATAATTATTAGATAATATTTGCTGAGTAAACGTTTATATGAACAATTTTTTTTAACACGAAAAATTAATTTTTAAAATTTTTCGTTATGATATCATATAAAATATTTATTAATTTTAAATTATTTATAAAACATATATTTCAAAATTTATTAAATTATCTGAAAATTTTAAAATTTAATCAAAAATAAATTTAAATTTCAGTGAAATTTTTTTTTTTCTAATATATCATCTCATCTTAATTTAAAATTAATTTATCTTTAAAATGATGATAAAATAATAAAAGCAAACCATATCTATATCCATAGTGAAAACTTGAAAAAAAATCTATCGGCCATTGCTCAAATCCTTGATATACATTTGAACTTCAATGTAAAATTACCTGCAAACATCCTTACCTGGATAATGTGTTATTTTATAATTCAACCATTACATTAAATTTTTTTTTCTACTTTCCTACCCAAAATGAGTAGGTTGAAAAAATGGAGAAAAACAATGAATATTAGCAAGTGGTTACTTCATTATACTGCTCAGCATTTCTCTCTAAATTCATTCAATCATTGGAAAAGCCAGTTGAGTAACCAACTATTTTCTAATGGTTAGGATTATAGTTCAAAAGTAGAGCTCTTTACAACTAAGATAGGATTAGATAAACATCTACAAATTGGAAAAAATGATTCGGTGCGCCAATGAGAAGAGGATCAAATGAATGATGCCTCTGACCATAAAACAACTCTAGCTTCATCCAAGTTAATCTCTGCATTAGTTTCATCCATACCTGGTGAAGGGACTTTTGTTTTTGTGGACTCTATTTCCAGATTGGAGACATCAGTACTTTCAGCCTTAGGCTGTTGAGAAGCTTCAGCATCATCATCTTCCGATTGTGGTGAAGGAGCTTTTGTTTCCAGTTTGGCGTATCCAACCTACAAACTCGTATTAAAAACAAGTGTGGTTAAATGGTTAATTGGTATAGCAAAATGAGATTGAATTTTTTTTAGTTCTTAATCTACATCTGTTGAATATCTATTCTCTTAATCGATTCACTCAATCAGGTAATATTTTTTATTTTTCAACTCTTTATTTTTTCAATATTTAGAGTATAAATTCAATACAAAAATTTTAAATATTTTTATTTACTTATTTTAGTCCATAATTAGATGCAGTCATGTGCAGGTAAGTAAAAGAATCATAAAAAAGGAGCCGTAAATTTTGGCTTATTGGTTTTCAAAGAAGTTGATACTTTTATTCCGAATTTCCAAAGGGCTTTTTGTCTTTTTTTTTTCTCTTGATTTTAGCTTCTAGGTATTTCTTAAACTTTTTCAAATTTTTAGCTTCTGGGCAAAGAATGGTTGTGGAGACTTTCTTTAAGTACCCACCTCTTGAACGTTTTGATATCAAGAACATGTGCCAAACCGTGGCTGTTGGTGTCATTAAGATTGTTGAAAAGAAAGACCAATCTAGTGCCACGGTCACCAAGTCTGTTGTCAGGAAAGATGGAAAGAAAATGAGATAGCATTTGGGAGAGATTTATCACAGCTAGGATAGTTGTATTGATTTTGGTAATATTTTTATTTAGTATTTATATGATAGTTTGGCAACTCTAGAGATTTAAGTTTATATGATTATTTAAGCTTATTATCTTTGACCTATTAATTTGATGAGACTAGATACATGAATTAGTACCCTAAACAGTTAACATTCATCAAAATAAATATCTAGTAATTAACTTGAATTGAAAAATATATGGATAAAAGAACTTTAATAAGCAAGTCCATATATGATAGTCTCACATTACCTTTCTATGAACTACAGTTTCCCTCTGTGCATACAAAAGATCAATGAAATGACTTTTCCTATCAAACTCAAAAATAAATTCAACCTTTTGAGCGATCAAATATGTATTTGAACCAACCCTCTCAACAACCAAGAATATGTAATTTGAAAGAAAATCATATGCAAGTCTTTGTATAACCACCAATTTACAAAAGAATTATGTGATGTAATTCGGATAGATTTTCTTTTTAGTTCGAAAATCTACTATCATCTTAATTGTATTTGAAACTTATTTTAAAGCAAAATTAAGGCAATTTAACATTTCTACTTTTTTTGGGTTTGTAAAATTTGAAAGTGAAACAACCAACCTTACAAAACTATTTAGTGTTTGAGCTAATGCCAAGGCCAAAGTCAATTTTACTCTTATTAATTAACAATTTCCATTTTCTATAAAAACATATAGAGGTAGCAGGAAGAATTCAAACTAGCACCAATCTAATATATATATATATATATATATACACACACATATATATATATATATTATAACATACAAAGTTATATAGTTAAAATTAATGTGGATGCTTTGGTGGATGATTTTTTTTTGACAAATAAGAAAATTCTAAAATTTCTCTATAATAACACCTAGGATATTTCTTAATTTTAGGCCATTTATAAAAAAATATATATTTAAAATTTTATTTAATTATCTAAAATTTTCAAAATTTAAATGAATGATCACTTTTTATATATTATTTAATTATCCAAATATATATCTATATGGATAATTTTTAAATTAGTAACAAAATCTAGTTTAGATATATTATTTTTTAGGACTTTCTAATAATCTAAATATATATCTTTTTAAATTTAAAAATTTCATAGATGTATTATCTCTAAAATTGATTTATAAAATAATTACATTTAATAAATTATTTAAATTCAAAACAAAAATCTATGAAAAATTGAAAATTTGTACAAAATTTTAATTCAAAAATATCAAATTTAGAATTTATCTTTCTTTTAAATTTAGCAAAAATTTAAGAATATATATATATTTATTTATATGCACCATAAATTTTAAATACATATCTCTATTAGAATTGATTAGATTTATCTTTTATTATTTTGAATTTAAAAGACAAGTTTTATTTTTTAATTTCCTTATCATTAGATTATTTTATAAATTCAATCTCAGTCACAATTATCCATTATTTTATCGTTATTATTTCTAACTCTACATCTAAAATAACAATGAAAGGCGTCAATAAAATTTTTTTATTGTTTCACTCACAGTCATAGTCACCCATCATTTATTTTTTTTTGAGAAAATAGTAATTATATTATTTATATGTTTGTGAAATAATCAGTTGATTTGTGTTTTGTTGGATGATTCGTAGGAAAAAGTAGAGATTCAATTGTCTAAGATAAGAGTGAAAGACTAAGGACTTCTTTTCTATTTTCAGTTACTTTTATATCAATA